CCCAGGTCAGCCACATGCAAGGCAAGCACCCTACCTGCTTTACTATCTTTACTATCTCTCCAGCCTATTTGCAGGCTTTAACTCTTCCAAATATAATTGCTGATACCTTATTCTTCTACTCCTAAGTTTCTAACTTCTAAGTTTCTAAGAAAAATAATAAATAATATATTTATTGTTTTTTATTTTTGGGATTTTTTTTTCTTTTTGGGTCATACCCAGTGGTGCACAGGGGTTACTCCTGGTTCATGCACTCAGGAATTACTCCTGGCCATGCTCGGGGGACCATATGGGATGCTGGGAATTGAACCCAGTTTGGCCGCGTGCAAGGCAAACGCCCTACCTGCTGCGCTATCACTCCAGCCCCTATTGATTTTGTTTTTTGTACTACACCTGACAGGACTCAGGGGTTCCTCCTGGTTCTGTACTCAGGAATCACTCCAGAATCAATCCAGCCTAGGGGGAACAGACAGAAGGACAACACCCTTTCCCCATTGGAATGGCCCGGCGACAGTAACCTATTGCGGGGTCCGGACCGATTTCTGCCAAAAGCCACTGGATTTCGAGATTTTTTCTGAGTCTTTGGGATCATGGCCGTTAAGCAGCTTGATCAGGAGCCAGAGAGGCCATTCGTTGGCGGAGACTCAGAGTCTCATTGTGATGCGGAGGGGAAGGGCCGGCTCCACACTCATTCCGTGAGGCCCTGTGTGTCTCGTCACTGTGGGCCTAAACTTGCCTGTTCAATGGCCTCTGGTGGATGGTGGCCACCGAGCCACCAAGGGGGAGCAGGTGGAGGGACAGCACCCTTTACCCCCCTGGGGTGGCCCAATGACGGTAACCTACTGCACAGTCCAGATGCATTTCTGCCAAAAGTTGCTGGATTTCGAGATTTGTTTCTGAGTCTCTGGGATCATGGCCATTAAGCAGCTTGATCGGAGGCAGAGAGGCTGTTCGTGGGCAGCGACTTGGGGTCTCATTGGGACAGGGAGGAAAAGGCCGGCTCCACCCCCATCCCATGAGGACCCATGTGTCTCGACACTGCAGGCCCAAACCTGATTGTCCAGTAGCCGCTGGAGGATGGTGGCCATCGGGCCGCCAGGGGGAACAGGCCAAGGCATGAAACATATTCCCACCTGGGGTGGCCCAGCACCGGTAACCTACTGCAGGGTCCAAAAGCATTTCTGCCAAAAGCCGTTGGGTTTTGAGATTTGTTTCTGAGTCTCTGGGATCACGGCCATTAAGCAGTTTGATCAGGAACCAGAGAGGCCATGCCTCCAATTATATAGCTGAGCCGGAGGTGGTTTGTGGGTGTGTCTCCCACATACCTAACTTTTGGCCGTTTACTTTCTTGGTAAACTTTGCCCCAAGTTTTGGGGGTCTGGCCAAAGGCACAGCAGCAATTATAGGGTATTTGGAAGTCTGAAGGCGCCATCAGGCTGCAGATGCACTCGCCTCACAGGTACAGATTGACCTGCTGGTGACACCATACCCCCCCCGCCCCATCTTGATTTTTTAAAAAATTACATATATATTTTTATATATATTTAGATTGAGCATACAAGGCTCAATCTATAACAACATGTTAGTTATTAGCTCTTACACAGGGCACCAAGGTGAGATACAAGAATTTTCACACACTTTCCTCTAAGGAAACCTTTTTGGATCATTTTTAGCGAATTATTCATGACTGTAGCACTGTCCTCCTATTGTTCATCGATTTGCTTCAGCGGGCCCAGTAGTGTCTCCATTGTGAGACTTGTTACTGTGTTTGGCATATCGAATACGTCACAGGTAGCTTCCCAGGCTTTGCTGTGCGGGTGAGATACTCTCGGATGCTTGCCGGGCTCTCTCAGAGGGGCGGAGGAATCGAACCTGGGTTGGACGGGCCAGTCATATGCAAGGCAAATGCCCTACCTCTGTGCTATCACTCCAGCCATAACAAACAATACAAAATAAATTACCTAGCATCTGCCTCTGGAGTAGGCTTGGGTGGTGGTGGGAAAGTTAGAAATAATGGGGTGGGAAGGTGTAATGGTGGTAAGATTGATGTTGGAATACTGAATAATCAGTATAAACAACTTTATAAAAATAAAATTTAACAAAGTCATAGGGGGCCAGAGAGCAGTTAAGGCACTTGAATGTAGCCTACCCTGGTTCAATCCTTGGAGTCACACATGGTCCCCTAACAGGGATTATAACAAATCTGTATAATTTTGGGGGTAGATTGGCTATTTTAATGTCAAAATCTTCAAAGTCATGAGCACGGACCTTATCTATTTCCCTGTGTTCTCTTCTATTTCTTTTACTTCTGTCATAAAGTTTTCAACGTGTGAGTCTTTCACCTCCTTTATTAACTCCTAGGTATTGGATTCTTTTGGGAAAAATCCTAAGTGTGATTGCTTCTTTCTCTTTTCTTAGTGTTCATTGTTTATATGTAAGAATGCAACGGATTTGTGTGTGCTGATTTTATTGCCTCCTACTTTATCATACTGGTTGTTTCAATTCTATTGTCTTTTGGTGTAGTTTCTTTGTTTTCTATATATAAACTATCTTCTCACCTGCCAATAGTATCTGATGACTGCTTGACCTTTAATTTAATTTTCATACCCATTTTTATGGCTAAGACTTCCTACTTTTTTTCCTAACCAATCAATGAGTAGATTTAGTTCTAGCAGGATAATTACTAAATTAAAATTAATTTGGGGGAAGATACCAACTGGTGCCATTTCTGGGGACTAGAAGGGGACTACTTCTGGCTAAGTGCTTGGGGTGACCATGTGGTGCTGGAGACTGAAAGAAGAACCAAACTTTTAGAAAGAGCCCAATGAAGCTCCCTAGTTAGATTGTAGCAGCTGAAGTTAAATTTTCTTATAATTCCTTAAATTTCAGTTTCTTTCCCTAAAAGGCCACAAATACCTCAAAGTAGGAAAGATTAAAAAGTATCAGTCTGGATTCTCAAAAAATTAGAAATTGAGCTCCCATTTGATCCAGCAATACCACTCCTGGGAATATATCCCAGAGAGGCAAAAAAGTATAGTCGAAGTGATATCTGCAATTGTTTGTTCATTGCAGCACTCTTTACAATAGCCAGAATCTGGAAAAAACCTGAGTGCCTGAGAACTGATGACTGGTTAAAGAAACTTTGGTACCTTTACATAAGGGAGTACTATGCAGCTGTCAGAAAAGAGGAAGTCATGAAATTTACATACAAGTGGTACTACACGGAAAGTATCATGTTAAGTGAAATGACTCAGAAAGAAAGGGATAGACATAGAAAGATTGCATTCATCTGGGGAATATAAAGTAACAAAATAGGAGACTAAACACCCAAGAATGGCCAAGATTAGTACCAGGAATTTTACTCCATGGCTTGGAGGCCAACCACACATGCTAAGGGAAAAGGGAGCTCAGATAGAGAAGGGAACACCAAATAAAGGTGTTGGGAGGATGCTTCCAGGATGGGAGAAGCATGCTGAAAGTAGACTATAGACCAAACATGATTTGTCACCCATTGCCTCTTTTGCAAACCACAACACCCAATAAGAGAGAGAAGAAAAGGGAATGCCCTGCCACAGAGGCAGGGTGGGATGGGGGGGGGGATGGAGAGTGGGAGGGATACTGGGATCCGTGGCGGTGGGAAACGGGCACTGGTGGAGGGATGGGTATTTGATCATTGTATAATTGAAACCCAAGCACAAAAATTTGTAAGTCTGCAACTGTACCTCATGATGTCTCACTAATAAAAATTAATAAAAAAAAAAAGAAAAAGAAAAAAGAAAAAAGTATCAGTCTGGAGAAATAGTACAGCAGGTAAAATGCTTGCCTTGCCCCCAGCTGACCAGGATTTGATCCCTAGCATCCAGTATGGTCCTCTGAACCTGTCAGAAGTGATCCCTGAGCTTTTCAAAGCCAGGAGTAACCCCTGAGTAATGCTGGGTGTGGCCCCCAAAAAAAGGTTAAAATGTATACATTGACCTTCAACATGGGTCATACTTAACCTATAATTTGTCATATTCAATCAGTGCTCTCTCTATATATCCTTAGAATGGCTGGAATTTCAGAAGAAATGAGATTCAAATACAACAAGAAGAGTAAACTACATTTTATAAATGTCAGTCTCTTTAATTATAAAAACACTGGCTAAAAAAAGGAAGTGTCCATAACTGAATTTTAAGTGATTTTTTTAAAAAGAAAATTATTTAAAAATGATAAAAATACTTAACAAATACAATACCAATTAAACATTAATGGAATTGTATAAATAAGTATTACCAACATAATCTGAGTTTACGTAGCACAGCGGGTAGGGCGTTTGCCTTGCACGCAGCCAACATGGCTGACAGTTCTAAATATGTGAATCCAAATCCCACACATATTTAACAATCAGTTTCCGATAAACATAGAAAAGAAAAAATTTATGTATATACATTTTAAAACACATTGGGAATCTTTTGAACACACAGGAATCACTCCTGGCATTGATCTTCAATTGGGCTCGGGAAACTAGATGGAGTGCCTGGGATTGAACCACACCTTACCATTGTACTATCTCTCCAGTCTCCCCAAAATATTTTTTTAATTCTACAGTGTAAGTGACATAGACTATATTTTGCTTTGATCAGTAAGACACATAACTGCCTTTAATAAAAACCAAATAATGAACATAAATGATACCAATTCTTTTAAACTGAAACATGTGTGTATGCACGGTGAAGAAGACATAAGCATAAACTCTAAGATAAAGTGAAATATGCGTATACTCTTTACGTAAGGCTAACGTAAAGGTAAAGGTAAAGGCCCTCCCGTTGATCATCGATTTGCTCGAGCGGGCCCAGTAACGTCTCCATTACAGACTTTGTTGTTACTGTGTTTGGCATATCGAATACGTCACGGGGAGCTTGCCAGGCTCTGCGTGCCTACGTAAGACGAAGAACTTAAAATTCCCAGACCCCTTAAAACCTTGACATCTTTATCCACAGAATAATCCCTTGAAAGATAAAAAAAATAAAAATTCTTTGCAAATTTTTTAGACTTTATTGTCTTTTTTCATGATCCCATCTCAAAAGATAAAATTATGTATTCTTTGTATTTGTAAGCATCATACTTTCAAATCATACTGCAGTCTTTTAGAAACAAATAGGGGCCACACCCAGCAGCACGGGGCGGGGGTGAGGAAGTCAGGGAATGACAGTTCAGGGCTGGGGTCCAGTGGCACTGGGGGCCCAACAATGCTACCCCTAGTAGTGCTTAGGGGCCATGTGGTGCCAGGGATCAAACTCGATCTTTGAGTCATATCCCCAACTCCCTGAATAATTCACATCTTCAGCTCATGATACATATCTGGTTTGGTGAAGGTTTCAGCTTGGAATCATTCTATTTCTTCTTTTGAAACAAGTTCATTGGGTACTATTTTTTCCTGGTCTTCAGATTTCACAGCATGAGCTGCATAGTTAAGACTGGTATTTTGTGTCCAATGCCAGTGGCCTGAGAAAGGGTTGTAGAGCATGCCTGCCACCGTTTGAACTGACAGGCCATCTGAAAAGAATCAGAAACAGTACACGCATAATCAGAAAATTGAGGTTTCTCTAGAGTAAACTGAGGAGGTACCTCATCCTGAACTGAAAACTAACAACCAAATATTATTCATTGATCACTTATGATTTGCTTTGCTTTGGGTTACGAACCATATCAAATTAGTCCTAACTTTAATGAGTTTATGATACAGTTGAGATGAAACCAACATCCAAAGAACCATGATCTATTTAATTAAATGCCAGGTTGTACGATTAGTAACATTAGTTCAGTTAGACCTTAGGAATTGGAAACATTTTTAATACTCACTTGATTCCAGAATGCTCTCAAGCTTTTCAGGTGAAACAAACTTCTCCCACGAATGGGTACCTCTTGCTACCAAACCAGCAATTTGCTCTGCAAAAACAATCCCCAAGACATAGGACAGCTGTGTTCTGTTGATTGTAGTGATGAACAAAGAACCACCAGGCTAAAAAAAAAAAAAAAAAAATATATATATATATATATATATATATATATATACATACACAGAAGTAAAAATATTAATGTCAAGAGTATCAGGTAAAAATGAGCTTATAGTTTGACCTTCCTTTTAAATCATTTTAGTGGTTAAAACCCTTAAGGGGCCACTGGGAGTGGTCCCTAAACACTGCACCTTAAGTATTAGTAAAACATAATTTACCCAAAATTATGATTTTAGGTAAATCATGAAAGTGATTTTTAAAGGCAGTCTACTATGAACACACTGCATTATGCAAAAGTACTTATAAATCCTAAAATCTTACATTACTATGACACACTTTCACACATATTAAATATTTTTTAATTAATATATAGGAATTAGATCAGGTTGTTTTCCTTGCTTTACATCTACATTTAAATTGTAATAAATAAATTAACATCTATTCTTTGAGTGACAACCTCTTTTGACCTGGTTAGTACAAATGCAGCCATGCATCTTAAGGAGGCATGCACTGCCAAGAAGAAAGTCTCCGACCAAAACCAAAAATGACTAAGGTTCGAAAATTCTGTTCTATTTTTATTTCATTTGTATAAAGAAATAACAAGGTCAAGGTAAGTACTTGAGTAAATGCAAAACATCAACAGGACTATCAAGTCTGACACTTTTTAATTACTAGTAGTATTTTCCAGCAAGGACAACTCCAGCAAGATTATTGTCCCCTCCCCTTTTACATACCCCAGTCTTGTTAACTTGATAGAGTCCCTCAAAATAACATAATTTCTATTGTGCGCATGCACAGAGAGAGAGGAGAGTAGAAAGAGAGGAGAGAGAGAGAGAAGAGAAGAGAGAGAGAGAATATTAAGGAGTCAGGGAGATAGCTCGAAGCGCTGGAGTACACACTGTCAGAATCTGATGTCTGCTCCCTGGCACCACTAGGAACAACCCCTAAACACCGCCCCCAGAAGTAACCCCTGAGAAATAACAGATATGTCCCCAAAACCAAAACAAAGAAAGAGTGAGAGAGACAGAGAGAGACAGAAAGAGAATATCAAATACCATCTTGAACCAAAACAAAAATTGTAAGAAGCACTCCTGAAATATATCCTAACCTAAAAATTAAAATAGCAGACTGTTTTACTTCTCTGTAAAATTCTATTATACTAAAATACCTTATTAAGAATCATTATGTGTATATTCTCCCTCAACAAAACTAGGAAGAAAACACTGCATGAGTATCAAAATCTTACTCTAAGGAAACAGTAACAGGAAAGAATCTGGGACTTTTGTCCATGTGTTTTTGGGACACCCGGCTGGTGCTCAGGACTGACTCCTCACCCTGTGCCCAGGAATCGCTCCTGATGGTGTTCGGGGGGCTTCTAGAGGAGACAGGAATCAAACCAGGGTTGGCCACGTGCACGACAAGTATCTTAAAACTTGAAATATTTCTCTGACCCCAAAGCAAATAAGTCTGCTTTAAAGTGTTCAATGCCACTATTCCTCATATAAGTGAAAGAAGCTCCAATCATACATACTGACTGACATACCATACAAAAAGAATAGGCTGGTGATGCAGCTCAGCAGTAGTACCCTGAATACAGGAGTTTGATTCCTGGCATCATTCCACAGTGATCCCCAGCATTACAATAAGTACAATCCCCAGCACAATGCCACCAAGTGTGCAAGCCCTAGTTGACAGCACCAAGTGTGATCACAGTTGTTAGGGTTCAAAGGGCCATGTGATTATCAGGGACTGAAACCCGGGTCCTTCCTGCCTGAGCATGGCATGTACTCTACTACTTGAACCACATTCTTGGCCCTAATCGCTTTCTCCTAGATCTTACAGTGTCACACTTGAATAAATAAACAACAGAGTTGATACAGTACTAATAATAATGACTAAGAGTTACTAGTTTTGAATCACCTTCAAAGGATTAAATTGTGGTAAATCAAATTAGTATCATGCAATGGCAAGAACTAACCATAATCTTGACTCCCACTTATATGCCTCACGACCTTTGACTTAAAGACCTCCACTGTCTTGTGGTTCCAGAGATCAGGCACATGGCTTCACACATGCAAGGCGGTGCTCTACCTCTGAGCCCTATCTCCAGCCCTGATCATCACTGTGCTTAAAGAAAGTCAAAACAATACTTACCCTAACCTCCTCATTTACTTGTAGCTAAGAAAATGTGAGATCATATATTTAAAATATTCCTTTATGAGCTGAAAACTTTTAGACACATCAAGTTATTTAAAAATTCTATACCAACCCAATTATGCTAATAATGGCTTTTATTGATTTTTAGGTACTAATACAAATCAGTATTTCGGAAATTTTCATTTAATGCCTATCATGTATTTAATACTGATGCTACATACTATTTGCAGTTCAATACCAACTGCTTTCACAGCAGTGGATCTGGAAAATTCCAGAATTGAGGGCAAACGGAGAGGCAGACAGAATCTCTAGAAGATCTGCAGGCCCTAATCCTGGTTTTCTGTATTCAAGTGCTATGAAACAACTTACTGCTATGAAGATTCACACACGTACTCAAAAGGAAAAACAAATTCCAAAAGTCTTACTTTTAAAACTTGATAGCAGCACTGCACAAATGTTTCTAGATCAGTTACGTGTTCTATAACTTCAGAAGCTACTACGGCATCAAACGTTTCTGCAGAATCTTCCACAATGTCTTCCAAGGCACATGCTCTGTACTCGACCCTCTTATCCAGGACTGGGTCAAATATTTTATGGCGCTCTGCTGTTTTAATGTTCTCATCCACAGGATCAATTCCAGTAACTAAAGCCCCAAGTCGCCCAAGAGGCTAATGGCACACATAGAATAAAGAATCCCCCCCCCCAACAAAAAATGGTTAACTTCGGGAACAAAATAAAACACATTAGCAATAAAAAGTTCATCAGAAAGGAAAAGACTAGCTAAACAGGGTGACTACTGGAAATCATTTATGGGTATATGAAGTTTATTATAATATCTTCTCTAGTTTGCAAATATTCAAAATTTTCATAATAGAAAGGTTAAAAGAATAGTCATAACAAAAATCTATTTGAACTACATAAGAATCGTGAAATACGGGGCTGGAGCACAGCAGGTAGGGCATTTGACTTGCACGCGGCAGACCTGGGTTCGATTCCCAGCATCCCATATGGTTCCCCAAGCACTGCCAGGAGTAATTCTCCTGGCTCATGCCAGGAGAAACCCCTGAGCATCGTTGGGTATCACCCAAGAAGCCAAAAAAAAAAAAAAAAGAATCATGAAATCTAGGTATTTACCTGCACAAAATACAGCATTAATATATGTAAGCACAGTAAACGTAAGGTCAGTTGCAAAAACAAAAAATTCAAGATGAATTTCCCAAAGATGTTTTCTTGATAGTTTTTTTTTGTCACTGAACTACAAGTGCTTCTTCATAGCTGATTATTTTAACTTTTATATTCAGTAACTTCTTCTGACATGTCAAGTTTCTTTTTTTTTTTTTTTTTAATTTATTTATTGAATCATTGTGGGAAAGGTTACAAAGCTTTCAGGTTTATGTCTCAGTCGACATGTCAAGTTTCTAAACAACCAAAACTTGTGGGGGCTGGAGCAATAACACAGCAGGTAGGGGGTTTGCCTTGCATGTGGCCGACCTGGGTTCGATTCCCAGCATATGGTCCTCTAAGCACCGCCAGGAGTAATTCCTGAGTGCAGAGCCAGGAGTAACCCCTGTGAATTGCCAGGTGTGACCCAAAAAAGAAAAAATAAAAGAAAAAAGAAACAAACCTTATATAATATTTATTTATTTTTGCAGTGGGTGGGAGGTTCCCACGCAGTGCTCAGAGAATTTGGGGGCCACTCCTGGAGAGCAAACCTGAAGGATCAGTGCTCCAGCCCAACAATGTGGTGCTCAGGGGCTGCCAGGGCTGCCCTGTGGCACTCAGGAGGCCATGGCGCTCAGGGCCACGGCACAAAAGCATGTTCTCCATGCTGACAAGTAAAGATCTTTAACTGTATCTCTCCACACTATGGCACTTATTTTAAATAAGAGTTAAGTCAATAAATAAAAAATACAAACACAATTATTTTAATATTAGAGATGTAAGAGCTACAAGAATATATTGAGAAGACTGCAGAATGAGCTATCTCCCAGGCCCTGCTTTTGTTTTTTTCACTTCTGGTGGGACTGAACCCAAGCTTCATGCATGCAAGACAAGTACTTTATCACTTAGATACTTAAAAGTACATCTCCAGCTCATGGCACTTATTTTGGGTCTTTTCCTTTAGTGGATTTTTAGGCCAGTGATGTGCAGGGGTCATGCTGGGCAGTGCTCTGGAGATCATACGTGGTGCCAGTATTTGAACGAGGGTCATAACTGCAGCCATGCTGACAAGTAAAGATCTTTAACTGTATCTCTCCGCACTATGGCACTTATTTTAAACAAGAGTTAAGTCAATAAATAAAAAATACAAACACAATTATTTTAATATTAGAGATGTAAGAGCTAGCTATAAGAATATATTGAGAAGACTGCAGAATATGTATGTAACATATACTCACTTACAATACCATATACTATATTTTGGTTGACCATTTTATTTCTCCTAAAATTGTATATGTAACATGAAAGGAGAGAGGTGCAGTTTTATAGGAGAAGAACATTTCCGATGCATTTGAAACTCAGCTATCCACAAAGACTTCTGTTAGTCTCACTGCTAACCTGGCTATTAGGGACCTTGATATGTGATAGTAATATACATCCCATTGAACCCCAATTTACATTTGCATCCCATACTGTTGGCTAACTTATCTTTCAATTTGATTAAAATGTGCACGCGTGTAAACAGTCGTTGATAGAAGAAAACAAAACAGTGGTTTCTAAGCAGTTTTTAAAGCAGAGGTTCTCATCTTTTTTCTGACTGTGCTCTTTCTGTCCTTTTGTTTGTTTGGTTTTTGGTTTTTCGGGTCACACCCAGCGAAACTCAGGGGTTACTCCTGGCTCTGCACTCAGGAATTATGGTGCACAGGGGACCATATGGGATGCTAGGGGTCAAACCCTGGTAAGCCACGTCTTACGCTGTACTATGGCTCCAGCCCTCTCTGCCTTTTTTTCTTCCTGGTTCAAACCCCACTCCGTCCAATCAGTTGGTGCACTATTCTCAAGCCATGCCCCCCTCCCCCGCCATCAATGGAATTTTTACCTGGGATCCCCTGGAATACTCTAGGACCTCAAAGGGCCATATGGCTCCAGTTGAAAAATTCCGCCTTCAAGTATCTGAGACTAAGCACCCAATAAGCAGGCAAAACACACTTTCAGGTTTTAATAATACAGCAAGAGTGGGAGACAGGAGGTAGCTTAAAGAGTCAGAGCACATGCTTTTTTGTTCTAGCCCCTAAGGGTCCTCTGAGCAGTGCTGAGTACCTAGCAGGGCGCAGCATCTGAGTACAGCTGGGTGAGAGTCATATACCATAAAAATAACAACAAAAGCAAAAGAATGGCTCTCACTGAATTTAAATCAGTGAAAAGTATCTAATAGAACACAAAAGATGGCAAGTATTTAAAGCTAGTCAAAGAACCAGTATGCCAATTTTATATTTTAAAAAACTGTTCTGGTCTGAGAGAAAAAGTACAAGAGAGAAGGTACTTGCCTTACAAATGGCTGACCCCAGTTTGATCCCCAATACTGCACAGGGTCCCCCCAAAAGCACAAGGAGTCACTCCTGAGCATAGAGCCAGGAAGAGCCCCTGAGAACTACCCAGTATGGCTCAAGAAACAAACAAAATAAACCCTTCTGGATTTTATATATATAATATAGGGGCCCAAGCAGGTAGGATGCTTGCCTTGCATGCAGCTGACCAGGTTAGAGCCTGACCCCACATCTGGTACCTTTTCCCCCCCCATTCTCCCACCCCCTCCCCCCGATAATGACATGAAAACTGAATCACTTACTTCTGTTAACAATCCACCACCACAGCCAACGTCAAGAATCTTCATTCCAGACAAGGGTATTCCTGGCTGATGATTAGCAACTATTTTTAAAAGATTGTCTCTTTTTAGAGGATTAAAAAACATAAAAGCAAAAGGTCAGTTTTATTGATAAAAGTCTTAAAAGTGTACAAACTTGTTTCAGTGCCAGGAATTGAATCCAGAGCCTCACATGGGCAAAGTCACGAGCTACATCCCTGACCAAAAACTCCCCATATATATATTTTTTTCTTTTTTCCTTTCTTTATTTTTGGTTTACACCCCTGCAATGCTCAAGGCTTACTCCTAGTTCTCAGGGATCAATCCTGGCAGTACTCAGGTGATATGTAAGCCAGAGACTGAACTGGGATTTAATTGCCTGCTAGCTAAGCACCTTAACCCTGTGTTATCTTTCTGGCCCCTTAACAGTTCTTAAGAAAATGTTAAACTTTAATTTTAAATTACTCTGAAGTAATCTAGAAGTAATTATGCAAATAAAACCTTTTAAATAATGTAGTTTAAGTTAACATACTTTTCTCTGCTTGATATCAATTCCCCTGAGACATCTATTAGATCAATACCTGTAAACCATTCATGTCAGCAACTTATAGAATATTTTATAAAACTTGAAGAAGCAGACTGGAGACATATATTTTCAGAATATTTCTAAATTTCTGACTAAACTGGATTTTTTTTTTTGCTTGTTGGGTCACACCCAGCGATGCACAGGGGTTACTCCTGGTTTTGCACTCAGGAATCATCCCTGGCAGTGCTCTGGGGACCATATGGGATGCTGGGAATTGAAACCGGGTCATCTGAACTCAGGTATCACTCCTGGTGGTGTTCGGGGGATGATATGCAGTGCCAGCAATCAAATCTGGGGCAGCTACATGAAATGTCCTATCCACTCTACTATCTTTTCAGTTCCATAAGTTGAATATTTTTTTAAGATTTCAAGTTAATGAAGTTTTCCTAATTGAGTGTATAAAGAATAAAGATGATTCTTTTTAATTTTATTTATTATTTTTGGTTTGGGGCCACACCCAGCAATGCTCAGGGGTTATTCCAGACTCTATACCCAGGAATTACTCCTGGCATGCTCGGGGGACCACATAGGTTGAACCTGGGTCAGCTGCATATAAGGCAAGCCCCCCTGACCACTGTACTACCTCCGATCTGCCTTAGGTGAATGATGGTTTCATAGGCATCTGAACAGTGGAGTTGTAAGCTGAGTGAGTATTCATGAGAAGCGCCTTGATGGTTTATGAAAACAGACTGCATACCTCCTGAAGCAACACTTCCAGGGTCAGAATTCGGAATTTGCATTTGTAACCAGCTCCAAGTGAACCACTGTGTGGTCAGGCAAACCAGGGCCTATGCTTCCAGTCAGGGCCTATCTTTTGAAAACCACCTGTTTTTGTATTGAATAATGCAGTAACTCAGTAGCAATAAAATGTCAGTTAACTACCTTTTCTGGTACTTATTCTGGATAAACCCATAAAACCAAATCATGGAGTTCCCCGAGGGAGAACTGAGTCTGACACTCTTTGTCATCTAGAGCATCTTGTGCACATCAGCTGCTTGAAAAGGTTTAATCAATCAATCAATAAACAAATACATGGTCTGCCTCAAATGATGAACTGACTCTGTAACTTTTACAGCATCCGTCCCTCAGTCTCTGTAAAAAGTTCTGCTCTGAAAGATTTGTTGAACTGTCTGATTAGTGTTCCTTTACTCAAGACTGCTGAAAGGTAAGTCTACAATAAGATGACCTTGATGTCACAGAAATCTAGCACCCTTTCAGAAAGATTCAATTATAATTAACCTGATAATGTCTAAACATTTCAAGTTAATCTGTGACAGCAGCCAAGAATCTGGGTGATGCTATTTAAAAATTAATAATTTCAAACAATGAACACTGGACAGATTCTTCCTTATCTCTAAAAATAACTTAAAAATTATTTTAAATTTTTTGAGGAGATGGCACACCTGGCTCTGCTCGGGGTTTACTTCTGCCTCTGTTCTCAGAAATCACTCTTGGTCATTCTCAAGGGACCATATGGGGTGCCAGGGACAGACCGGCCCAGGTAGCAATATGTGAGGCAAATGCCCTACCCACAATATATCTCTCCTGTCATTCATTTTAAGCCAATTTTATGAGAAAACAAACGCTCAAAAGAAAATGAATTTTTGAACTGCATTTAAAAGTCTTAAAATTTCTGGAATATTACCTAATAAATGGCACCCTCAGGTCATTCATGGAATGAAGAGGCCCATATACTCCTTGCTCATCCCACCACTTATGTGCCAAGGCCAGGAACCTCTTTACTTCATCACTGTCCACAGTGGTTTGGGAAGTACTGTGCAGCCTTATCCAAGGGAGCCTGTAAAGTCCAAATGAGAAGACAAGCAAAAACTGTTGTTAAAAAAATTACAAAGGGGGACCAGAGCGATAGTACAATGGGGAGGGCACTTGCCTTGCATGCAGCCAACCCAGGTTCGATCCCTAGCATCCCAGATGGCCCCCTGAGAACCGACAGGAGTAACTGCGGAGTGCAGAGCCAAGAGTAACCCCTGAGTGTCACTGGGTGTGACCCAAAAAAAGAAAAAAAAAGTTCCCAAGTGGCTGAGGTGATAGCTCAAGGGTTGGAGTATGTGCTCTGTCAGCAGGAGGCTTCGTTTGGGTACAAAGTGGCAGGGTATGGATTCCCCAGGCACCACATGGTCCCCTGAGCACTGCCAGGATGACCACTGAGCACTATGTCAGGAGTAGCCCCACACATCATTGGGTGCGGACCAAAAACCAAAAGAAGAAAAAGTAACAGAAAATATAATACTGAAGTATATTTTGATATGATATCAAATTTTGAACATATATATACATAGAGCTCATTTTTGATGTTTGTAAGTTTCTTAAATCATAATAATATATGTGTCATAAATGAAACAATTTGCTTCTGAAATAATTTACAAGTAAAATGGAACTTATAAAGCTTGGCCTTCAAAATATATGAATTTTTTAAAATAAAAAATAAACAAAACTCAACCTCCTGAATTATACAATAGTTATAATTTATTAAGCACCTATTAGGCATCTGCCTAATTTTGAAATTCCACATGTGCCAGTCTTTAACCCTCTCAGCAGCTCTAAAAAAACTGCTCATGCCATAAAGGGTCATATTATTATTTTTCCTAACGACACAGGGAGGCTCAGTAAGCAGCTACGCCAAGATCTGAACTTAGGCACTTTTTTCTCTCCTACTATGTCTACTGGTGTCATCTAAGTCCAAACTTCCATTGTCTCTTGCTTGTACTACAGTCCTAACCTTGTACCTCATCCACCTCCAGTCTGTTCTCCAAAATACCTAAGGGCGTACGCACTAATTATTTTGAAATATAAATCTGATCAGCCCTTTTTTGGGAGGGTAGGATGAAGGGGAAGGCAAGTCCCACACCCAGCCAGGCAGTGCTTACTCTTGTCAGTGCTCGGGGGACCATATGGAGTCCCGGGGACTGTACCAGGGTTGGCTGGGACAAGGTAAGCTCCTTAGCTGCTTTACTATCTCTCTGGCTCCTCTACTTTTTAAAGCTTCTATTGCTTCCCAGAGACACCAAAGTCCTAAGCATGACTTACAATTTGATTTTCAGTTTCTCTCCTCTAAAGACTCACTTTTTATTTTGTGGGGGGCACACACCAGTGGTGCTCAGGGGATATGAATGGCTCTGTCTCTAGGGGCTGCTGCGGCAGGTGCTCAGGGGGATGACATGGTGACAGAAATCAAACTTAGGCTTCACACATGCAGCAAAGCAAGTGCACTAGCCCTCTGTTCTCTCCTCAATCCAAAAAAGGATTCTACTTTTTTTTGGGGGGCAGGGAGCTCCGGGGCCACACCTGGAAGTGTTCAGGGGACCATATGCAGTGCCAGCGCTCAAACTGAGTTGTGTGCATGCAAGGCAAGTGCATTACTTTTTGTACTATCCCACCAAGCACCCTCTTTTTGTTTTTCAGCAGGAGGGTTCTAACTTAGGAGCTCGTACATCCTAGGCATGTGCTCTTGCTGAGCAACACCACCCAGCCCTTCAAACCCCACTTCTCCTATTCACTTGTCCTGCCCACTTGAGCCACATGGGTCTTCTTTCAACTCCTAGCTGACTTGTTGCTCCTTCCTCAGGTACACTGCTTAGGTACAGTACCTCAGGAACACTAGCCTGTGTCAGAAATTCTTCTCACACTCCCCTCTTCCCTCCTCTACATACCTAATTCACTTCTCTGAAGATGAAATCGAATATCATCTAAGAAGTCTTCCCTGACTTTCAAAACTAGGTTATATTGCCCTATCCTAACTTCATAACTGTACTTCCTGAGGCTATGCGATTTTGCACATTTGTTCCCCACTAGAACATAAGCACTCTGAAGACAAGAGATATCCTTTGTCAATTTCTCTCAGCTGCCATTTTATTCCCAGTGACCTGCAAAATTCTTGGAACACAATTTATGCTCAGGAAACATTCATCAAACAAATATCCAGAGGAAAAAGGCCCAGAAAAGCATATAATTCACCTAACTCTGGTTTGTTTTGCAGTGACAGGGATCTAATTCAGAGCCTCATACATGTGAGGGATGTGCTTGACCACTGAGCCATATGTAGCTCTGAATCCCTAAAACTATTTTTTTCAATCAAGTGAGATCAATTGGGGTGGTTAAATTAATGCCGTATATATAATGTTGATTTTTAATGACACAGAATGCAATGTAATATTGTTACTTAAAAAATAAAACAAACAGGATCAAACGGGGAATAAACAGGGATCATACACATGGTATACTAACTTCCACACCAACATACGTGATAAAAATCAGAATACTTGAATCAACAACACTCCCTAATCAAACCATATTTAACCCCTATTACAGGATAACAGGATTTACTAAACACAATTACAAAGTTATAATTAAACCTATTTTGGACAATTACAATTATGCAATTATCTGCCACAACAAACAAACTTACCTACAATTTTTCATTCTGTTCAAATAGGGAAAAGTCATTCTATAGGATCTGAACCACATGATTCTATATTCACCAAAAACCCATGGCTTAATTTGTAGGGTCCAACTTAGCTGGTTCTTTGAATGAACTGAAAAAAAAAAAGAAGTGAAATGTTTAATGAAAACAAGCGGTATATAAATCCTGACTCTCTTCTGTTTTGTTTTGATTTGGGGGGTTTCTTTTGTTTTTTGGGCCATACCTGGCAATGTTCAGGGGTTACTCCTGGTTCTGCACTCAAGAATCACTCCTTGGGGGACCATACAGGATGCTAGGAATTGAACCCGGATTGGCTGCATGCAAGGCAAATGTTCTATTTGCTGCACCATCACTCCGGCCCCTAAATCCTGATTTTTATGTAATTAAAAATGTTATTTTAGATTATATTTATATGTATGTATTATAAGGAATAGGATATTCCTTATAATATATATTCCTGATGTTCCATTCGCTCTCAACGGAACGAACATCTCCGAATGCAACAGTTATGTGTACCTAGGTTGAGAACTCAATGTGATGAATGACCTGTCACCTGAATTGTGCAGGAGGAAGAGAGCGGCTTGGAATGCCTTTAAGACTATCAAAGAAATAGCTAAGAGGACGAAGAACCTCTGGCTCCAAGCATATCTCTTCGATTCCACTGTTCCTCCTGCATTAACATACACCTCAGAAACCTGGGCCCTACGATTAGACAAATGCACTAATTCTATGAAAACCACAACTACCAAAACCCATGCAAGATGAACTTGGGCTACAGACAGTACAAGATGCTTTCCTTGTACAGATGCAGCTGACCCAAGTTCAATTGTCAGCATCACATATGATCTGAGTCCTACCAGGAAGTGGTCTCTTAGCACAAAAGTAGGGGAAAGCCCTCAGCACGATGGGGTGTGGACCCAAAACAGAACAAGGAAGATGAACCAGGTTGGCTAAATAGTACTAGAAACTACGAAATTCAGTTCACTTTAAAATCCTTTGAAAAATATTATTTCCAGACTCAGATAACTTCACTGGTAAATTCTTCCAAACACATAAAGAGAAATAATCAATTCTACCAAATCCTTCAACAATAACAACACTCCTGGTAGTGGGGATCAAACTGAGGTGAGTACTGCACGTTAGCCAAGTGCTTACCCTTGTAAGCCAAGTGCTTACCCTTGTACTATGTTTTGGCCCCAATACAAACATTTTAAAATTTGTTTTTATTTTGGGAGAAAAGGGGCGTGACACCCATCAGTGCTCAGACTTACACCTGGCTTTGCACTCAGGGACCACTTCTGGCAGGGCTTGGGGAACCACAGGAGGTTCCAGGGATCGAACCCAGGTTGGACATATGCAACCTAAGTACCCTACCCACTATACTATTGCTTCAGCTCCCAGCCTCATTTTTAAGAGATGGGGCCAGGGTGATAGTATAGGGATTAAGGTGCTTGTGTTGTATGCTGCCCACCCAGGTTGGCCCCTGGCGTAGCAAATTCCCCACCCCCTATCTGCCAGGGGTCACTCTTCAGCACAGAGTCAAGCTGCTTAGTACTTCTGGGTGTAGCTGAACCCTCATCCCCCCCAAAATTTTTTTCAAAGTTGGTCTTGGTTTTTATTTTGGGGTTACACCCGGATATGTTAAAGACCTACTCCTGGCTTTGTGCTCAGCGATCACTCCTGGCAGTGCTCAGGGACCCATACTGGGTGCCAGAAATAGAACCTGAGTTGGCTGATTGAAAAGCAAACATCTCCCCTTCTGGACTATCTCTCTGGTCCCTAAAAATAATTATTTTTTAATTTTTATTTTTATCTTTTTTATTGAATCACCGTGAGAACAGTTGCAAAACTTTCAGGCTTAAGTCTCGGTGATACAATGATCAAACACCCATCCCTTCACCTGTGCACACGTTCCACCACCAAGAACCCCAGTATACCCCCATCCCAACCCTCCCCCTGCCTGTGTGGCAGATGATTTTCACTTTACTCTCTCTTTACTTTGATTACATTCAATTTTTCGACAGAAGACCCACTATTATTATTTGGAATTTCCCCCCAACTATCAGACCTGCCAAAAATCATTAGATAATTTGTTTTCTATTGCTGATAATTAAGAGCATATGATGTTGCAGTCGTGCAATTTTTGGATTTCTGGTATTTCAGTAATTAAGTCCAGAGGGATTTCTGCCAGAAGCCACTGGGTTCCAAGATTGGTTTGTGTGCCTCTGGGATCATGGCCATTCAGCAGTGGAGGAGCCATTCGTGGACAGCAACTCAGGGTCTCGTCAAAGTGGGGAGACAGGCCAGTTCCGCCCCCCATTCTGAGAGGCCCCCCTAAAAATTATTTAAAAAGAGGCCACATCCAGTAGTGCTCAGGGGGCCAGGAGCAGAACCCAGTACATAGGAGTGAAGTGAAAAGAAAGTTCAGTGAGTTAGTGCATATGCCTTCTTCTGGCATCTCATTCCTCCCTTTCACCCCTATGCTCCCAGCATCTTCAAGAGTGATCACTAATCACCGCGCTGGGAGTGACCTCCATCAGAAATATCCCCAAAAGAAACAAAAGAGCACCCAGGGCCACGTTTGTTCTAGGCATGTTTTCCTCCACTTGAGACATCGCCCCCGATCCAGTAAGTTTTTCTTTAATATTAAATCCAAAAGGGTACACTATAAAATACCTCTCCTCCTGACTTCAGTTTTCAGTCTCCCTCTCAAGAAGCAACCAATACTACATGATTACATGTGCAAGCTTTAGGAGACACTCAATACATATATATATATATTTTTTTTTGCATCAATTTTGTATCTTATATAAATATAGCACAACAGAGTGATTATCTGTGGTTCCCAGGTTTCAATTTACCCAAGGTAAATAAACGGAAATGCAAAAACAGGATATACAATAAGATTTGTTGCGGGGGGAGAGGGACCACGCTCTGCAATGCTCAAGCTTACTCTTGACTGCTCAGGGACAGAGCTGGGGTTAGTTGTGTGAAAAACCACCACCTTAACTTGTGTACTAGTTCACCAGCTCCACAACAATAAGATAACTGAGTCACATTCACACAACTTTTATTACAGCATATCTATTTTTCTTGTTAATCTCCTACTGTATCTAAACTTAGCTTTACCACAGGTATGTGTATGTAACAGACTATACACATATGATGTACTATCCCAGCGCAGGTATCTACAAGGATTACCATAACGTACAGAGGATACTGTGACAGTCAATAAGGGTGTTTCTACGCAGATACATTCTTTTGCACCTTACTTTTCCTTCTATTAATGTATCATGGAGATTTTTTCTATAACAAAGAATTTCCTTTTAATTTTAGAGCTTCATGGCAATCCATGTTATAACTATCTCATAACCCATTTAAGCAGCCTCCTATTTGTGGTATTTGCTACTTTTAAAATTTTGTGTGGATCCACACCCGACAATGCTCAGGGGTTACTCCTTGCTCTGCACTCAGGGATCACTCTTGGAAGGCTCAGGGGGACCATATGGGGTGCTGAGGATTGAACCTGGGTAAGAAGTGTGTAAGGCAAGCACTGGAGGTCCTCAAATATATATGGCATGCCACCCCCTCTTTAGAAATAAAAATAGTTCAGCACCTTCACTGAAAATCCTTATGTTTATTGTTTTGGGGCCACATCTAGTAGTGCTCATGGATTGCTCCTGGTTTAGCTGGGTAGAACATGGGTGGCAGGCAATCAAACCCAGGGCAAGTACTCTACCTGCTTGTACTATCTCTCCAATCCTAGAAATATACCTTTAAGGGAACAAACAAAATAACACCCCCTACCCCCCAATCCCACAATCATTAGTGCCCGCTTTGGGGAACAGGTCTAAATGCTATATTCTCCCAAATTCATGAAATCTTAACCCCTCAGATGTCTGTGGTAGTACTGTACTGTACTAGGAGGGGGGGAGTCTAGGAAGTCATTAGGCCATGAGGATAGTCCTCGCAATTGGAATTATGAGTGACCCCAAGAAGTTACCTCACCCCTGCTATCACATGAGATAGAGCAAACCAGAAAGCAGGCTATCATCTCTGTGGAATATTTATTTGGTGGGGGGAAGGTGGGAGGTTCTGTTTGTTTTGGGGCTATACCCAGCAGTGCTTAAGACTTACTTCTAGGTCTGTGCTCAGATATCACACCTGGCAATGCTTAGGGGACAAAATGGGGTGATATCTGGGGATCAATCCTAGGTTGGCTTTGTGCAAGGCAAGCGCCCTACTCACTCTGGCCCAGCAGGCTATCATCTGACACTGAATTTTAGACTCCCCAGTTTCCAATGTAAAAACATAAAAAAATATATATTTTAGAAATGAATTTTCAAAAGTACTAAAAATACTTATATGATGGAGACGTCACCACCCAGTCTATGGTATTTTGTGAAAATTTTGAATAAATTAATTTCAGTATATCCCCAAACCAGCAGTTTGTGTTTCTAGACTTTTGCTCTTGATACATTCTTTCAACATTACTATCTGTACTACTTCCCCCCCCCCCCTTTTGGTCTTGGGGTCATCCCCTGCAGTACTCAGGGGCTACTCCTAGCTCAGTCTTGTGTAATCATTCCTCATGGTGCCTGGGGAACCATGTAGGGCCAATGATTAGGTGGGGAGGGCCCCACATGCAAAGCATATGTTCAGTCCACTGACCAATCTATTTCCTATTCCTTTTGAGACCCTGTTACTCTATCAATCCCTTTAAGACTTGAAATTGAAATTGAAGTTTCCTAAGAATTTATAGACTAGGGCCAAGGAGATAGCTCAAAAGACTGACACCCTCCAACATAGAAACGGCTCAGCTCCACAACTGAACTTCATCAAACTGCCAAGTCACCAAACTGTTCCAGTTCTATAGCTCCTGGACAACTCAGAGATTTCACAGTACGGTCAGTCCAATAGGATCACAGCAAATCGGACTGGAAAACTGCATAAAAGAGCAGCAAGTGCAATGAATCTAAATGGAGGAGGGAGTAACAGTTACAGCGGGTAAGGAGCTTGCCTTGTATGCAGCAGACCGAGGCTCATTCCCCGGCATCTTATATGGTCCCCCATGCACTGCCAGGAGTAATATCTGAGTGCAGAGCCAGGAATAACCCCCGAGCACCACTGAGTGTGATGGACCCACCTCCCCTCACAAAAAAGCCGAAACAATAACACAAAAGGCTCAACTACCACTAACCAGCACAGCTGACCCTCAGACAGTGACTTTAGCAACACTATCTCAAGATATACCAACTATCACAAATGGACTCTTACTGATCAATGTTTTGATAATTCCATTGCCTTTGTGTTGAAACAAACAGTATGAAGTAAATTTACTTCTGTCTGCAAGGGGGCAAGGCTAGGGTAGTGAGTGGGAAGGAAACAGTGTAGGGAAGGACAAACTGGTGGTGGGATATTTAATGCCCGGTACAACTATATTTTGAAAAACTCCGGTAAATCATGATGTTACAATCAAATTAAAAATAAATGACCAGAAATAAAAACCAAAAAAAAAAATCATATAGATAGGAGATATTATTAGGGCCAGGGACACAGTTTATGGTACAGCGACCACCTTGCATATATGAGGTCCTCGGTTCAATCCCTGTACCACAAAAAAAAAAAAAAAAAAACCCACAAGAAAGCAAGTCTTTGACTTTGCTTGTGCTCGCAGTAAAAAAATCCCTATTTCCCTCTCATCTCCCGTTTTTTGTTTGGGGGTCACATTCAAGTGGTTCTTGGGGCCACTACCAGTGATGATCAGGACGGAGAACATATGGTGACCCAGAGAGAACCCTGGTCTCTCACTACAAAGTATTCATGCCCTCGGTCTACTGACCGATCTCTCTGGGCCCCTAATAATTTCCAAGGGAAATTAATCCCTGAGTCATTAGTATTGCCAGAACTCTGAAGAATTTTTAAAACCACCTCAAACCAAAAGTGAGCTTGTATTAATACCGTTACCAATCCTTCTCTACCCTGAATCTGTAAATCTTCAGATATCTATGCTTTAAAATGATGAATGGGGAAGTTTCATTTAATTTACTCAAAAGCTCATTTTATAGAGAACCTATCAGTCACCATGTTGACGGTGATCAAGATCTCTTCCTTACTAATATATTAGTTCCAACGATCAATATTTATTGTCTGGATTAATCTAAGGAGGCTAATTTTGCTTGACTAGGTCCTATATTCTAGATAGCTGCAAATCTAAGTCTGATTATGTTGCTACCTGAGTCATTTCCCACTGCCCTCAGGATATGTCATAGAAATGCCAAGATCTGAAAAGTCTATCACATCTCCCAACTCCCCACCTCCTCTTCCTACCTTTCAGGAGACACTTTTTAAATTCCCAGAAACCTCACATATGAGAAGCCAGAACTGCTGGTTCCTGTAGGGGGTGGGTGGGCCAACAGCCAAAAACCAAGCCCAAATCGTGTCCTAATCATTTTACCATGTGGATTCTTCACACAGATTAAAAGCTTTTTTTTTTCTTGGCTCCATTATTTTTCATTATTAATACGATTTTGGCTGGAGTGATAGCACAGCGGTAGGGCGTTTGCCTTGCACAGGGCCGGCCCAGCCTACCCAAGTCGATTCCTCTGCCTCTCTTGGAGAGCCCAGCAAGCTACCGAGTATCTCGCCCACACAGCAAAGCCAGGCAAGCTACCCATGAGATACTCCATATGCCAAACACAGTAACAACAAATCTCACAATGAAGACCTTACTGGGCCCGCTTGAGCAAATCGATGAACAACAGGACAGAGCTACAGGGCAATACCAATTTCTGAACTTTATCGGGAGCCTTTACTACTAGGGGCCCACTTCTTCTCAAAGCCAGGTCTTAGTTCTAATGTTTTTAACTATCAATCAAAATCGCCAGTGCTCTTTATACATCATGTTAAATGAGTTTTGGATAAACTGAACTTTCGGTTAAGGCTGGGATTTGACTTTCAAATTGCGTCGTGGACAAGCCGGTTCGGGGCGTTTATTAAAATCCGAACTGGCAAGAGTCGGTTGCTGTAACCTGGCAATCAAAGAGTAATTCAGCTGCCTTCAGTGCCGATGTACTTTTTGCTGTGTGCACACAAGAGGCGAATGCAGAAGCGTGGGTACTGAGAGCAGCTGGTGTCCTTCCCCGCCTGGCGAGGGAAACGCGCGACCTTGCCACGCCGGCCCCCGGACGCTCGGAGTTCTGCAGGAGTCGCCCAATACAAGGCGGTGGTCCCCGTCTACAGCGTCCCCTCCCCCCAATCCCCCATCCCCGCCCGAAACGCCACAAGGGCCCCCAGTGTGCTCCCGGCCTCGGGCAAGTCAGGGCTCCAGCGGGCCGCCACCCGGAGTGGTTCCGACACGGAAGTCGGGGTCTTCGCGCCGCCCGTCCCAGTCCGTGGTGCAGGGCACTTCCATACCCACCTGCCCGGCCTGGGTGCGGCCGCTGGGCCGGTGTCCCGCGGCAGCCTGGCAACCGGAGCGCTAAGAGACGACCGCCCCGCGAGCTCATCCCGCCGCCTCCCCGCAGGCGCCGGAGGCCCCACCTCGCTTCCGGTCCCTCCGGAAGAAACAGCCGAAGAACAGACGGAAGGTTCCCAAGTCCTCCCTCGCCGGCCAGGCGCAAACTGGGGCTGCTTCCCGTGAGGATACCATTTATGTGTGTGTGTGTGTGTGTGTGCGTGTATACATGCGTGTGTACATATACATACACATGTGAATGTCACTCTCAATGGTCAACATCTGGCGGATACAATTACAGAATGTTCCTATCATCCAAATCGATCTACCTCAAACTTCGTATTTCACGGATGTAGCACTGTCCTCCCGTTGTTCATTGCTTAGCTCGCTCCGGGCACCAGTATCGTCTCCATTGTGAGACTTTGTTACTGTTTTTCGGCATATCGAATATGCCCCGGGTAGCTTGCCAGGTTTTGCCGCGGGGGATAAATACCATTTCTACTCCTCTTAAGGCACTGAATTGCAAAAAAATCCTAGGAATTGCAAAAGCACTTTTCCTAAAGATCGAATTCCTCCCCCTTTTAAGGCTTTGGAGGGTCTATAAGGATAAACTGAAATTTTATTTCCCTAATTGACCAGCTAATATTCTGGGCAGGGAAAACTGTTGTAGGAAACAGTGTTTTCTACTGTTGCCTGTCTACTCAAGATAGGCAAATTTTGGAGCAAGGTTTTACTTTTATTTAGGTTTTTGTATACCTGGTGGTTCACAGGGCTTACTCCTTTAAGAATGTGAGCGAGCCATGTGCAAGTTCTCCCTTGGGTCACAAATCTTACTTTCTAAGGTTTTAATGGCCTTCCTCTCCCCTAGGTAAAAACTACGAGTTTTCAACATTATAGGCAAACAGTTGCTCATCAAATTAGTAAAGGTTCTCTGTATTCGTGAAATTTAGTGCTCAGTAATGATCTTCCTAGTATGGCTTCTTAAATAATTGACTTTCTCCTTAAGGTGGCTGCTTAAGTCCTTAAGGTGACTTCTCAGCTGTTAAGTCGTCTTTAGAGCTCCTTTAAAGATACAAGATCTGCCCATTTGAAGGCAGAAAGCTCTGCACAAAACAATTTACATGTATTACAATATTTGAAGTGACAAAGGAGAAAGCAAAATATGTGATTAAATCAAGTTTTAAAAGCTGTTAAATATATTACACTTTAGTGAAGCAGACTTTATTGCAAGAAATTTACATGGAGAAGAGTGAGAGAAACCAGCGATAAGTGCTCAAGAACATTACAAGGGTTTCCCCAGAGTTTAAAAAAAACAAAAAGCTGAAATGTACTGTACTTATTTAGTTGGTTCGGGGGCCACACCTGGCTGGTAGTGCGTAGGGATCACTACTGGCTCTGTGTGTGTGTGTGTGTGTGTGTGTGTGCGTGCGTGCACGCTCTCTCCAGCCAATATTTTCAAAGACAATAATTTGCCTTCACGGTCCCAGTCACGGTCCTCCCGTTGTTCATCAAAACCTCTTATATACCTACCCACTTGGTCCATATAAGCTAAAATAGCATGTAGTATTTTAACTACAAATAACAGGACTTTCCCCATGATGAATATCACTTGAGATCTACTAGGAATACTAACAATTGTGGGTAGTGCATAGCTATTGTTAAGTATTTCCCAGATCATCACTATATTACTAATAAAACATGTTGTCATTTTAAGTTAACAATTAATTGTACTATAAAACTAAACCTACTGATTATAAAATTCAGCTTTATAGGGCTGGAGCGATAGCACAGCGGTAGGGCGCTTGCTTGTGAACAGCCAGCCCGGCCAAGCCGGCTTCAATTCCTCTGCCTTCTTGGAGAGCCCAGCAAGCTACGGAGAGTATCTCGTGACATATTCAATATGCCAAACACAGTAACAAGTCTCAAAATGCAGACATTACTGGGCCTGCTTGAGCAAATCGATGAATGGGAGGACAGCTTTATATTTTGTATTTGGATTTTTTCCTTCATGATAAGAGCACAGAGCTCTCCAGTTCTTGTCTTTTTGAAACTGAATAATCCATCTCCAACAGTAATTAGTAAATTCCAGTTACAGAATAATCCTATCTTAATTTACACTACTATAATCAGAATGTGACAGATTTAAAGATGTAATGAAAAATATCTGGTAAAATTTTACAGTATAAATAACTTATCACATGTAAGTTAAAAGTATGAGTAACTTAGAAACAACATCTTAGAAATCTTTACTTATGGTATAAATAGCATTATTTCAAGGTTAAAAAATTAAAATAATATTTTTAACTTAAAAAAAATTTCTCGGGGCTGGAGCGATAGCACAGCGAGAAAGGCGTTTGTTTGCCTTGCACACAGCCAACATGGCTGACACAGGTTCGATTCCCAGCATCCCATATGGTCCCCCGAGCACCGCCAGGAGCAATTCCTGAGTGCATGAGCCAGGAGTAACCCCTGAGCATCGCCGGGTGTGACCCAAAAAGCAAAAAAAAAAAAAAAAAATTTCTCATTTAGAATTAAACATTACAACCAAGAATAACTAGTTGTAGAACTGTTCAAAACTTTAAAAGATCATCTAATTCCTTTGTAAATAACTGAAGAAGCCGAGGTCAACTGTGATCAAGTAACTGTCGCAGAATCCAGCAAATAGCAGGAATCTAATACTATCCTTTAAGCAATATTTCATAAGTTTAGTGTAATTCAATGAATTAGGTTTTTGTGTATTTGAGAAAAAGCCAGTTTAAATGTAAAGGATTTTATAAGACAAGAACTTTGGATCTTATGTAATTCCTACATCAAATTAAAAACATCTTACCTATTAATTATTTCATATGTATCTTTGAAGAAATATGAAGTTATCTATTGTGTGTTATACCATTAGATGCTAATGTAAAAACATTTGACAATGGCAAAAAACATACACTGATATTCCACACCAATCTTTATTTTCATTATGATGGGGTCTGAAACAAATCTTTTAACTGCCTCTTCAAATTACATTTTATCCTCTTAATGGTGTGGTTTACCCCAGTTCCACAGAAACAGTATGATTAATACACTAGGAATATTTTAAGAGAATCTCTTAAGACAGTTTTTATTAATCATCTCAGATCAATGATTGTCTTGAAAACAAAGCCACTAAATTTCTGGTGGTGTCACTTTAGAGATTTCATGACCCAATTATGCATCCAATTAACTATGTGTAAATTTTATCATTCACATGCCAAATCAGGAAAGCCCTATTTTATAATATCTTCCCACTAAACATTTTGTTATCAATAAAATTGTGAATTCTCTGAATTATCCATAAAATTTTAAAGAACCCAAATATCTAATTATAACACTGATATCATAATCACATACATCATAACTTTTGTTAAAAAGCTACAGATTTAAATAATAAGAAGCTTGTATATTATGGCCGAATAAAGTTGTCAACTACTACTTTTGGCCCTCATTTGTATCTTGCCCCAAAATGTGCATATAATAGCCAGCTGAGCTTTTCTATAGAATTTTATTTTGAAAATATTATTTCACTTGAAGATTGATCTAAAAAACATTAAGATATGAAAAAGTTATACAACTATCTTTTACAAATTAATTGAATAGTTAATTCTGAAATTAAGTACAGTGTTAGCTAATCTACATAAAAAATATTGCACATTTTCCTTTGTCTCTAGGTGTGAATGACTCAAAACTAGAATTCCAAACTAATTAAAGATGCTCTGTGAAATGTTAATTTTATAAATATCAGAACTAAAATGCACTGTAAAACAACCAAAATGGTAAACATGCATGTATTCACAGTTGATTTATTTCCTCTAGATAAATGCATAACTGCTCAAAATTATTTAAGAACTTATGTTAGAGGTATAAGAGTGCACTATACAAATCTATCTTCATTTTGAGGAAATACTGATCTTGGCAAAATCTGGCTTATTTTAAAATAAACTATTGCTGGTAAGAAGGCATATTTTAAAACTCTTCTAATAACTTGCTCCTGCTTCTCTCCTTTTAAATAAAAAAAAATGTATAAGAGGTTTATCTATTGCCATGTAAATGAACAATCATAAACAGACCCCAAAAGCAGTTGAAAACTTCATTGCCTTTCAGAGTCTCATTTCCTCACAAGTAATGACTACCTTAAATTGATATACCACTCTCATGGATCATAATTTTAAGAAATGGATAAAACAAGACCATTTAAATTTTATGAAACTGACAAACCTGCTTATAATACAGCATTCTTCCACTTAGCTGAGGTTATACTATACTTAAAAAGAGTACGTATATTGAGTTGTGAATCTTATTTTTCATAACCCCAAAGTGTTAACAATATGCTTCTAAAACAGAAGTGTATGACTGCAGAAAATAGTTTCAGACTTGACTAGTGTCAAACACAATTGTTCCTTATGAATAACGAATGCACTGTCTTAATTCCAGCAATTTCATCTTACAGGAGTGAGCCATATACACATAAAATAAATTACTTGAAAATCCTCAAAATAGAAAGAAAAGTTTAGGAAGTTGTTGGCTGCGAAAGTTGTTGGATGCATCCAGTGAAAAGTAAACATCTATTTCTGGCCCTTTCCATACCCTTATGTTAGAATTTGACAAAAATTCATGGGTACAATTTACAAACATTGACAAGCTATTAAGCTAAAATCATTTTCTTTGGGGGAAATGAGAGGAAGTACTTTTAAACCTGTTATACAAAATTCCAGCTGCCTTTTAATAAAAGTACGTTCCTTCAATTAAAATCATAAAATTAAGGTGCAAGAGGTTAACAAAAATGAACTAAAGAGCTTTATTGACATCACAGTACATTCAAGAATAATTTTATGAACATTACAGCTGAAAGAGAATGGCATGTTTATAGTCTTATTATGCACTATTTTTTTTTGAAAAAAAAAAAAAAAAACGCAATATAAAGAAATCCTATTAAGTAACTTGGAGCAGCATTTGGAAAAAGTACACCTATTTACAGATTTAAAAAAAAATTCTGGTTTCACCTACACAGCCACAATGTGCCTCTATAATGAGACAAGCCCTTAAA